GGAAATATATTTTGAAACAATGTTAAAGTAACATATACATCTATATTACATGTACAATAAAAGGGTCGTTATACCACAAACTCTCAAAGCGGTTAATAATGAAACCAAATAAAGACCAGTAATGGTTACTCGCTACTTTTACTAGTCTGTGACACTGGTTACCCAAATTATCTGAGTAATCCTAATCGCTCACAACGAATACCCTATACTACCTACTGGCTGTGGGAACACTGTGTTTCCATCTGAATTAACTAACTCACTAACTCTTCGTTCTGCAAGTCCTAACACTTAACTATATTCTAATAACTCATGAACTAAAGTTAACCTATAATGGTTGCATACTTAAAATGCTATGAATACACATGAATGCATTAATACTACTAAGAGTTAAGTTTCCAGCTATAATATCTTATTAAGACATAATAACCCATAAAATGTGCATATATCAGTCAGAATGTTGCTGATTCAATGTTAATAATCAGACAAGGTATATTGGGACACCCTGTAATGATATAAGCGATATTCTAATGTTTGCTGGTAACAGTTACTCTAATCGTCGCTCCGGTACAATGAAGGCTTTGATTTGTTCAACTACTTAACTCAGCACAATCCTACTCTATAGCAACCAATTGACTGCTCAATCTGGCCTTCTGTACAAATGGTCAAAGTTTACTGTACCACTCTATAATAACTCAAATATGTCGATCATTGAATCATACGCCATCATAATGCTCAATGTATCATGTTACACTCTATAATGATATTGTGCTGGTATGCTAGTATCTTAGGCTCCTATATGGTCGCTCTGGTACATATTCTGTCTGGTTCATACTGTAATTAATGATCACGGCAAATTGTAACTCCAATAACTACTAGTGCCAATCAATTAATGCTATAACACCATAATAGTCAATGTATATGGGAATACTCTGTATCGATAATCACTGAAACTCATTCTGGTCTCCAGTTCACGCATGAATAGTGAACACTGTTAATATACACTATGAATGCTACTGAAGCACTATAATTACTAGTGCCAATCAATTTAATCGTATAATACCATAATAGTCAATGTATATGGGGATACTCTGTAACAATATCTTTCTATAAATCACCAATACTCATGCGGGTCTCGTGTTCACGTGTGAATACTGGACACTGTTATTGTTACACTAGGCAAATCAGTTAATGTTACAAAACTACATCTATGAGCACCCTGATCACGTACTATAAATCGTGACGATATCTTTCTATAAATTGCCAATACTCATTCGGGTCTTGAGTTCACTTGTGAATACTGGACACTGTTAATACACACTTTGATTGTTACGCTAGGCAAATCAGTTAATGTTACAAAACTACATCTACGAGCACACTGATCACATGCTATAAATCATGACGATATCTTTCTATAAATTGCCAATACTCATTCGGGTCTTGTGTTCACTTGTGAATACACACTTTGATTGTTACGCTAGGCAAATCAGTTAATGTTACAAAACTACATCTACAAGCAACACTGATCACATGCTATGAATCGTGCAATTTGTCGTGTATCTCAAGGTATTGCTGCTATATTCTGTAAAACAAACCACCACCACAAGCGTTAGTATAAGGCCACTGGGAAGAATAATCTACTATACTCTATACCTGGAAACACATAAAAATATACCATATTACATTAGAGTATTAATTATTTAGAATCTTTACTTTTATAATTGGGATTCTCAATTATTAATTGCTTAAAGGCAGAATCTGATAGTATAGGGGGTGACAAAATTATAAGCAACGGTGAAGTTATTAAAGAGATCGGGTCTCTTAAAAACACAATTAGAGTAACTCCCTGATTTTTTCGTGTTATTTGATGTAAAACAAGTTTGTTTATCAACTTATCAATTCTGAGGCTTGAATTAATTCATTAACTGTATCAATTCGATGATTGTTCCTAGCCATGAATTTCCACTTACATCAATAAAAATTCAAATTCAAATTTAAAAAGCCCGCTCAAATTTGTTCCAGTCTGATTGGCTTTTTCCTTCAGATTATTATCCCATCGAACAAAGTTCGGAGGGATATAGGGAACGCCTCCGTCCGTCCGTCCGTACGTACGTCCGTACGTACATCCGTCCGTCCGTCCGTCCATCCGTCTGTCCGTCCGTCCGTCCGTCCGTCCGTCCGGGCAATAACTCAAATACCGTTGGCCCGATTTTGTTCATATTTTGTACACATATACCCTATGGGGGTAGAAGTTCTGCTCGAAAGCCGATTTCAAAATGGCCGCTCATTTCAAAATGGCGGCCATTTTAGTGCCGATTTTACAGTAATTTAGGTGCAATATGTAAAACTGTAATAGCAATATGTTTTAAATGTAAAAAAATTATAAAAGACATTAATAATGCTACAAATGTAGATATTAAAGAAGCACATGGCAGCCATCTTGAAAAATGGCCGCCTTTACTCGTCATTTTATGATTTTTGCTGTAACTCAAAAAATAGTGGAGCGATTTTGTTCATATTTGGTATGTGAATACTATAAGCATTGCACACTGTCTAAAGACACTTTTGGTAGAAGGCGGCCATTTTGAAAAATGGCCGCCATTCTAACGTATTTTACTATAACTCGAAAAGTAGTGGCGGGATTTTGTTTTTATTTGGTATGTGAATACTATAAGCATGACACACTGTCCTATGACATTTTTGGTAGAAGGCAGCCATTTTGAAAAAAATTTTGAAAAATGGCCCCCATTTTAAAGTATTTTACTATAACTCGAAAAGTAGTGGAGCGATTTTGTTCATATTTGGTATGTGAATACTATAAGCATGGCACACTGTCCTATGACACTTTTGGTAGAAGGCGGCCATTTTGAAAACAATTTTGAAAAATGGCCGCCATTTTAACATATTTTACTATAACTCGAAAAGTAGTGGAGCAATTTTGTTCATATTTGGTATGTGAATACTATAAGCATGGCACACTGTCTATTTCTTATGACACTTTTGGTAGAAGGTGGCCATTTTGAAAAATGGCCGCCATTTTAATGTATTTTACTATAACTCAAAAAGTAGTGGAGCGATTTTGTTCATATTTGATATGTGAATACTTTAAGCATGGCACATTGTCTAATAAAACTTTGGGGAGTAGTGGGCCATTTTGAAAAATGGCCACCATTTTTATGTGTGTTATTTTACAAGTACGTGTGTAATTTTTCAAAAATTTTAGAGGTAGCTACTTAAAAGCATATTATTTCTCCTAATGACAACTTGGCTAGTGAGCAACCATTTTCAAAATGGCGGCCTTTCTGGTGTGTTGTTTTATGATATTTGCTATTCGTTTGTAAAAATGCCAGCTATTTCTGTTCGATGGGATTCGCTACGCTTTGGCGTTGCCGTTGTTCTGGTTTTGGCTTAGAGAAGCCATATTTAATACTTCTAAGGGGTTACAATATAGATAAATCCCCAAAAAACATTGTATTCTGTTTTCAATTGATTGCGTTCAATTCTGACAGTTGGTTGTTCTTTTGGTTGTCCTGTTGATATCCTCAATATATTGTTGATATCGTGCTTATGATTTGGTCTCAATATATATTTAAGGTATATATGATGTTTTGAGCAATTATATTGGGACATTACTGATTGTCCAGAATAGAAATCTGGACGACTCGATCTCTTTAATGATTCAACGTGCAAAAATGAGTGAAAAATGTTTAAATTCTCCCAAATAATAAGAATGGTGTAGAAAAATGATACATTACTGTAAAAATCTTTAGTTTTCCTGGAATAAAGTACAGTAAAACCTGAGTAAGTGAACACATCTCTCTAGTGAACACCTATTAACAGTGAACGTTTTTATTCGGCAAAACCTTTTTCTCCCATTGACTCCCATGTTAAAGTGCAATCCTATAGTGAACACCTACCAACTATGAACAGTGAACACTAAACCCTGGCAAAATCAATTGAATTATCCTGTCTCTAGTGAACATTGAATCAGATATAAGATTTCTCGCGGATTTTCTGCAACTGCCTTATCAGAGTTAAGCAGTTTATGTTTATATTACCTGCCAAAAATAATTAAAAGGTCAATTTGAGATCTTGATCTCTTCTATTGAAACAGGTGTGACTAATTATAATTCTTAATAAGCTTTGTTTTTGTTACAAAGGATATGCGTCTGGGATTGATTGCTTGGAGATAATCTGGCTAACTATTATTACCTCTATCTGTTGTCCCAAATTAATCTTTTTTCTCATCCCGTCAATTTAAAAAAAACAATGGATCAAAATTATAATTCATGATCATTTCACTATTAATTGCATCTATCATGTCCTTTAACTAATTCAATAAAGTCCTTTAACTGACTCAAATGTCTCAAAAATTCCACTATTTAAAGGACCATCTTGATGAGATAAAAAGAATTATATAGAGATAAAAATCTGACATTAAAAGGATGAACCATTCAGATGACAGTTAGTCTAAAATAAGTCAGTTTGTATATAGCATTACAACAAATTAAATACTTAACGCTTGAGTGTCATGGGTTAATATGGGTAGAAAATACAATTTAAATTTATCATTCAAATATGAATATGTTTTAATTCTTTTTAAGACTCATTTTAGTTTGATAAAATGTGCTGTTTTAACCAACATTGAATTGTGGATATTTTTTGATTACATGCACCTTAATGTAAGAGTGCCACTGTTAAAAAAGTGTACATGTATATCTAAATAAATAAATAATTAATAAATAAATAAATAATAAATATTCCCTCCTCTCTTTTAATAGCTGGTATCTTTATATAATACGGCAAAATCAAATCATTGCTGTAGTGAACACCTACCAACAGTGAACATTTTTTCTTGGCAAAAAATTGTTCACTATACACAGGTTTTACTGTATGCAGTTTTGTGAATTGAATTTTTTTTTGTTTAGCCTGCTCGCTATATCTGATTCTCTCTTTAATTTGAAGTTTGTGCTTTCTATAATCTATACTATGTTTTACTTCAGGTCTCGTTCAAGATCTTATTCACCCAGAAGAAGGAGATCTCGCTCCGGGAGCCGATCGAGAGACAGAAGACACAGAAGTCCATCCCGTTCTCCACAAAGATCACGTTCTCCCTATAGATCACCATCTCGGTCGCCTCGGTCCCGCTCTAGATCCAGGTCCTAGTGTGATTGAAAACCTGAGGAAATGAATTATCATACGCTCCCAATGACATACCATATGCTCCCGAAGAGGAGATATATTAAAAACATTGCTGCATACATTAATAAAAGGTTACTATCCATTTACATAGTGTAGCATAATGTGGCTATGAGTTCCTTTTTTTTAATTATTGATTTTATTTAAAACCTTACCAAACAAAGTTTAAAGTTTGGGGAAGCCTATGCATACCCTACTATGCATACCAACATTTTAATTGTACAAAATATTGGACTTGAAGCATTTCTCTTAATAATATCACAATTATAAACATTTGGAATGAAATCATAAAGGGATGAAACAAAGTTAGGTGTTCAAAGTTAATAATATGTTTAATATCCTGACAGCCTAATCTAAGAAGGGTGGAAGGTGAAAAACCAATAAATTAAAAAACAAAACCCTGGCTTTATTAATGACACATCTTTTGAGTTTCATGAACTCTTAAATGAAGACTATTATATCAAAGCTGAAATACATGTAGTTTTCAATTTGGGAACTCTTCACTATAATGATCCAAGATCACAATTCTAAAGTTTCTATTGTTATTCTAAATCAGAAGGGAGGTGACATAAAACATATATTTAACCTTGAATGGCCTTATTTGGACAATGTATTTTTGTAATTTTCAATGTATTGTTTCAGTTTCTATCAAGTGTTATTGAGAATATTGAGAGAAAGTGTAAGAGGGTTTTAAGCAATGACTGTTAAGTTGTTTAATCCTTGACTTCATTGAATTGCAATCACATTGAAATCATATTTCCTTAACTATACCTCAGTATACTGGCACATATAAAATTACAGATTTAAGAAAATCTCTTGTGGTTAATAGTCAAAAATAATTTTATTTTTCAAGATATGTTGAATTGTTGACTTGTGACCCCTAAGTGGACTTGTACTGTAATTTGTTCATATTAAAAATCTATCTCTCCAGGGCATGCTTATGTCATTAGTAAATAAATCTTATTTTATGAATTATCTTTAATTGATATTGTATTCCTTATGCTTTAGGCGCTGTGAGACTATGTTAGTTTCTGTGAGTAGTGTCCGGTCAGCACTTGTTGAGGAGTCAATCAGAGCAGTCGAGTTGCAGCCCAAAATACGTGGGTTCCTGTCAAATTCACTGCGTTCCGGTCAATCAACTGGGTTCCAGTCAAAACAGCTGTCAAATTAGCTGACTTCCCTTCAAATTAGCTGTGTTCCTGTCAAATTAGCTGACTTCCTGTCAAATTAGCTGACTTCCTGTCAAATTAGCGGTGTTCCTGTCAAATTAGCTGACTTCCTATGGAATGAGCTGTGTTCCTGTCAACTTAGCTGACTTCCTGTCAAATTAACTGAGTTCCTGTCAAATTAGCTGACTTCCTGTCAAATAAGCTGACTTCCAGTCAGAGCAGCGATCATCACAGCCCAAAATATGCAAGTTCCAGTCAAATTCACAGTGTTCCAGTCAGTCATCTTAGTTCCGGTCATTCAAAATCACTGGGTTCCTGGTAAAAAAACTATCAGCAGCGTTCCTGCCTATCATTACTACAGTTTACTACTGCCTTCCAGTCAATTTAGCTGTATTCCTGTCAAATTTGCTGTGTTCCTGTCAAATTAGCTGTGTTCCTGTCAAATTTGCTGTGTTCCTGTCAAATAAGCTGACTTCCAGACACATCAGTTACATCAATCAGCTCAAAAAACTGAGTTCTGATCAAATTCACAGCGTTCCTGGCAATCAGCTGGATTCCTGAACGTACGAAAAGCTGGCTTCCAATCAAATCTGAGTGTTCCTGTCAATCAATACAGCTGTTTTCCAGTCAAATTATTAAATGAACAGATTTGCAGTACAATTACCTATGTTTCTGCCAAATGAACCGAGTTCCTGTGATTATTACAATTATTAGTAAATAACCTGCATATCTGTTTTTACTGACAATGAAGCAAATTATTGTTACTGCTAAATAAATGGTGAATGACAGTCACATTTAGTTCTATAACTACTAGAATAATATAACATTCACTGGCGGATTCAGAATAATAATTTTTGCATTAAATTGTTGTCAATAAACACTGTGTTTTTACAGAATGTTTTCAATAATTGGTTTGAGAGAAAAACAATGTTGAATTCAGTTCGCCATATCGATACCATTTTCCTTTGAAAATTTGAGGCCCATTTTTGATAATTTGGCCTATAAAATTGGCACTACAAAATTTTTGGGCCCAAAACTTTTCTGGCCTCACCCAGGGGAGGGGGCGGGCCAAATCAATTTAATAACTCTCAACGTAATCCAAAACCATTAAATAAACACAAATCAGATACTAAAATTGTGGGTGAATCGCTATAATATAGCGTCTTCGATAGGCTATCGTCAATGACAAGGGAATCTGGATCTGAAAAAAATTACAAAGACAACGGCATATGGTAATACAGTGTCCGTTGTCCCCTATCTTTGACACTTTGATTGATTGTTGTTCCAAAGGAATTTAGTCTAGGTGATCTATACAGCTCATGAAAATCTAATTGAAGCGACGGTTATGTCCGCCAGTTGTGACATCTGTTTTACCGTTGTCCGGCTATTCCGGTGCGACTGTGGGAGTTTCCTAAAAATTCCCACAATACTTTCAATTCCTCAATGGCCATATGGGCCTAGCAACATTGCAATTACTGTTCGTACAGACTAGTTCGTAACCAAATAACACAGAAACTCGATTTTATCATTTAAGCAATTAGCATGAGTAAAAAATAAACGTTTTCAGAAAATTCTAACTTTCGACGACGTGAAATCTAATTTGATGAATATTTTAATCGCACTTACATTTTATTATGTCACCACTTTGGTGGTGATATAAGTTGTTATCCTACACTCAGTATACTAAATGTGTAATGACATCAAAAAATAAATTTGATATTTATTGGCAAAATGAATAACCGGAGGATATCGTGATGATATACTCCGGGCGGAGGATATCGTGACGATATACTCAGTCAGGAAAACCCAATATGCGAAGGATATCTGGATATTGTGACAATATACTCCGCTTGTTGATTTCCCGCCAAATTGACTCTATTTGGCATGAAATTCATTTTGCAATGATATTATACATTTAGTACACTCCTTGTAAGTGTAGGATAATAAGAACATCCTATGATTTTTTCAGAATATCATTTTAATCTACTCGGTGATATTCCTCAAAATCATGGGATCGCCTATAATTATTTATGTCACCATTTTGGTGGTGATATACTGGGGTGGTCTCCTTTTTTGGCGGGCGGCGATTGGTGGTTGGGCGGTTGGTGGTTGGCGTCTAACAAATTCTGCAACTTCCAATAACTTAACAAATACTGTTTAGACTGACTTCATTTTTTTTCGAAATCATAGATAACTTCTTAAGTTCAAATCTGACTTGAGATTTGACATTCAATGACCTTCTCAAGGTCAGAAATAGTCAAAAATGTATTTTTTCAACATGCTTCAAATTTTTCAAAATCATCTCAGAAGTTCAAATCTGACATTAGATTTGAGATTTGACCCTCAATTATTACATTCTCAGGGTAAAAAAGGTCTTTCCATTTTTTTCAAAATTGTCCCCAAGCTCTCAGAAACGTGCAGGGTTGGCGTCTGTAACAATTTCTTAAACTTCCAAAATTCAAATCTGATTTTTTTTTATTTCTGACTTGACCTTCAATGACCTTCTCAAGATGAAAGGGTCACCAATTTTTTCAACTTGCCTTAAATTAAAAAAATGACCATTTTTAAAAAATCATTTACAAGTTCTCAGAAGTTCAAATCTGACATAAGATTGTGAGCAAGTAGGTGGTGACATTTTGTCATGTTAATGTCTTGTTTTTATTTCATTAGTTGTTTAAGTAAGGAGGTTAAGCTACCCGTTTTTAAAAGAACTTGTACGCAAGGGACCTTTATACTCTCCTGGCCAAGTTATTACAACGAAAACTAACACATCGAATAAGTATATCCACGAAGCTGCGTTTTGGAAATGGTAAAGAATATATTATTCAGCATTATGACGTCAATAGGGAAACAAAAACAACAATAAACAACCTGTCAAATTGGAGACAATGCTGCATAATTTAGTAGGTATGATTATGAAAGACAAAAACAAATATACGCATCTCCAATCGAGACTTTATTGACGTAGCAATAGCAGGCCCGTAGCCAGGATTTGCCATGGGGGTTCACTTTTTAAAAAATTCCAGGAGGAGTTCACTTTTGACAATTTTGGTCGAAAAATGGCCAAATCACTTAAAAGGTGCTCAGAATGGTGAAAAACTGCATGATTTTGAAAGAATGTTTGGCCAGGGAGGGGTGGGTCGCTCGAACTCATCGAACCCCCTTGCTACGGGCCTAAACAGTGTACCCTTGTTCAGAATAATAATAATTCTACACTTAAATATCTTTTAAGGATCACGTAAACATATGGATCGACTGATTTTTTTATTTGCTGTGATTGTTACAAAACATTGGCAAATAAAATTAAAATATCCAAGTTCTCATTGGATGGCCAATAGCAAAATATAAGGTGTTAAGTCGATAAAGATTTTGATCGAAACGGGGTCTTGTTTTGTGATCTTGAGAGTGTGGTTGTAGCAAACCAATCTGAGTGCAGGGTATTTCTGGTGTTTACTGCTTACACAACACCTGACTTAATACACACATACGTGAACATTCAGAGAGAGAGAGTCGACCGTCAACATCTACGGAAATGTTACTAAAGTTATGTTTTCTACCGATATTTTTCAGTCCGGAAATTGGTAAGTAAAGTAAGATAAAGACTTGAAATTTTAATTCAAATAAAAGAATTTGACGTTCACCTTGGAAGTCGAAGATGAAATCAAACAGCAATAATTGAACTTTTAACGTAGGCCTATGCCTCAGACTCAGATTGTCGGCGGTGTGGATCCGACTGTGGATTAATGAAAAACGTTTAGCCTAAAGTCCACGGAGATCAACCGCAACACTAGCACATCAGTTTTTGGAGAATAAAATCCGTTTGAAGTTAAGTTATTAGAGAGGTTTCGCACAACATTTTGAGCCCATCGTATCGAAAATCCGCAACACGTTAACAAGATTTATGCGTACTTAATTCAAAACGAGATGCGGTTGCGAATACGTTTTAGCAATAATCAGTTATTGGTTACTTCATATACAGACTGATATATTCTACTTCATTTCAGAGTTATGAAATATGATATACAATTTAGGCTGTCCTGGCGTTATTTTTGAAATGACGATGTATCATAAAATTTCTATAATTTATTTAGCAAAGCTTGTTTATCATTAAAATTCAAGTGGCGCAATCGTCCATAGCTCCAGCACTAGCGCAAACGACTATGGCACCACAAATGGCGCAAACGACCATGGCTCCAGCACCAGCGCAAACGACTTTGGCACCACAAATGGCGCAAACGACCATGGCTCCAGCACCAGCGCAAACGACTATGGCACCACAAATGGCGCAAACGACCATAGCTCCAGCACCAGCGCAAACGACTATGGCACCACAAATGGCGCAAACGACCATAGCTCCAGCACCAGCGCAAACGACTATGATACCACAAATGGTGCAAACGACCATGGCTCCAGATCTGCCACAGACAACTATGACTCCACAAATGGCACAAACAACCATGGCGCAAACGGCACCATTGAGCATCATATCTGCAAATATGACGAAGATCAGAGTAAACAGTCAAAACAGTATGAGTCAATTGACAGGCGACCTTAACGATCTCGGTATTCTCGAGCAGAGTGAATGTCTTCCGGCTGACAGTCCACCCTTCCATAATATTATTCAACTACAACTGGAAACTGTGAGCGTCACCAAAATATTTGTTTTGTGAGTTTGATTATTTTAGTAATGAGGTTATGGGAGATTTTGGATATGGACCGTTTTATCTTTTGACTAGTGATTTTTAACTGCAAGACATAATGATTATAAATCACTTTATTTATAAGATAGATTAAGGTTCATGTATATATTAACATTTTTGAAAAATTTCTTATACCGTTCATGTAATTTTCTGGTTAAAAAAAGTATGAGTAAAGTAATAGTATTTTCCTGGAAAGCTTCCTTCCGCATCTAGTGTAAGGTACAGGGTGAGCCAAAATAGTAAACCCAAACAAATACAAATATTAGTTACTCAGTCATTCAGCATAGGCTTGAGATCATATTTGGGACAGTTAACCCTCCAATGTTCACTATAACAAGATTCATTGGTCTAACAAAATGATCATGATATATGATCATACTAGTATTACAAAACATGCTCAGACTGTCAGAATGCCGGTGTAAAAGGGTAGGAGGTCCTATCAAATTATGGTCCTACTCACCATTGATTTATATGGTGACCTAAATACAACTCTTTCCCTCATTATCTTATACGCAATCAGGGCCAGTAAGGGCCGTTAAGGTTAAGAAAGGGAACCATAATCCCTGGGAGACCGGTGTAAAAGGGTAGGAGGTCCTGTCAAATTATGGTCCTACTCTCCATTGATTTATATCTTGACCTAAATAAACTCTTTCCCTCATTATCTTATACGCAATCAGGGCCAGTAAGGGCCGTTAAGAAAGGGGACCATAATCCCTGGGGGACCATTTTTTCTTTCACGCCGGTATAGTTTCTGAAAGCATACATGAGCACATCGAGTAAAGTTGTTCCGACTACACACAGATATCGTGTGTAATGGCTCTCATCTTTCTTTCAATCTCTTGTTTCAAATCCCTGATGCTTCTTGGGTTTTTAGTGTAGACTATCAAATAGCCCCAAAGCTAAAGGTTTGTGGGTTCATATCTTGTGAGTTTGGCATGTTTCGGCATTTGTAGCACTTTTTGTAAAAGTGGCCATACAATCGCGACCATTTGGGAATATACCAATGAAACTTAGAATGGAAGGACCTTCGGAACACGGTTCAATTGTACAAAATATAACTTGAAACCCTTGCTGGATTGACTAATTTATTTTGTTTGGATAACCTTTTTTGACTCACTCACGCACGGTAAATAAAAATTTGAAACGATTTTGAAAGTTTCAATTCTGCAAAAAGTAAAGCGTTAGTTATGGTATTTTTTCAATTTAGGATAAATGGAACCAGTCTGGTCTGTGACCCATGGGCATACAAGAATCAACACCAATTGCAAGTGAAGATCCACACGACATCAAATACGGGTGACGAGTCTTCGATACTTGGTCGTTTCCGCTTCTGCGAGGCACAATTCTATCCTGATGGGGTTCCTGGGGTGTGCACATACATTTGTCCATGTGACACACATCACTGCGAATACGTGTTTCTGGACTGGTTTGCACTAACGGATGTTCCTGACCAAAGTATATGTATGGTTGAAGTAAGGAGTGATTTACAACTACTTCAGATCAAAGTATAAATTGCATATTTATCAAATTCCTAGGTACTAGACAAGTATATGTGTGGTTGAACTAATTTGCTAACGAGGAATATTTCAGAACAGAGTATGATATACAGTGTGTCTCAAAAATATGTTACACTTACAAAAATTTCAATATCTTTCATAATTTCGACTTTCCCCTAAAATATACTTTGGATACAAAAAGACAAATCTTTCTCAAATAATTTGACACCATCAGATTCAAAATCTGTCCTTGATTGGCTCTACAAGACAGCTTTTAGTGTCCCAAGGTAAAAGCTGACTTGTGCCAACTTCTAAGTGATTAGATGGACCAAATGACAATAGTTTCTTTAACATTTAAATTTCTTCTGAGTAGAACATGACCTTTAACTGAATCATTCTGTAATTTTCCTATTTGTCTTACATATGATCATTGGGTCTATCCACATAAACACGCGGTCTATAAAATCTGTCCTGTGCAGTCAATCATGGACGGATTTTGAATCAGATGGTGTGGATTTATTCGAGAAAGACTGGTGTTCTGGTATCTAGGTAACTTTTTGTAAGTGTAACATTTTTTGAGACACACTGTATACTAGTTAATGGTGAGCGTTTGAGAACAAGTATATGTTTGGTTTAACTAATTAGCCAATGCAACTGAGGACTGTTTCAAATCTTTCCCAGGGGGACTCTTTTAAAAAATTCAAGAGTTCACATTTGACAACTTTGGCCAAAAACCACTGAAAATGTGCTCAGAATGGATGAAAAAATAAAATAAAAGTGCATGATTTTGAAAGAACTAATGGCCCCTGAACCGCCCTGGCTACGGGCATGAACGTATACATGTCTGTTAATCTCCAACATAACATATGGACTTTTTAATGGCCAACGATCCTTGAATACAGATAACACATGAGAAAGATGAGTGCCTTTTTATTTGTTATCATGGCTTACACACATGTATAAATGTCTACGAAAGGCTGTGGAGGGCAAAAGGCCTGAGGGTTTGATTGAAGATGTAAAGAAAGAAAAAATGATTATACTTTAGAATAGACACACTGCAGAGTTAAGAGTTTGAACTATATGTGAAAACGTCCGAGTAAGAACCAAAACTTTTCACGTTTTTTTTGCGAAACAATGCATGGTCATCTCTCTGCAAGCGTTCTAAACAAAGAAACCTAGGTTACTAGGGAACAATGAACAAATAACATGAATAATGAATTGATAAATTTTAGAGTGTCTATGGAAACGTACTAAGGGAGGCAGTGAGTATATATGAATCATTTAAAGCATGTCTAAAGCCTAACTGCTATTCTTTTGTATTACAATATGAACATATTTATCAAATAAACAAATATTGCTAAATAATTTGCAAATAACATTCATTGATTTATTTTTCTAACAATTCCATCATTTGGTGTTGGATTCAATAAACATGCACCAGTGTGCTATTCAGACGTTATATAAAATTTAGTTTGAAACTGTATTTGTTCTATATACTACATATAAACAATATTTCAACACCATTTTCATGAATGGAATTTATTGTTGAGATCAAAAAAAAGATCAAATTCTTCAGGCGTTGCCAAAATATTTCTGCCGAATTCACCATATTTTCAGTTCCATTCTATACATTTGACTGTAGTATAGGTGGTTAACTCCAGTGAAATGACATGGCAGAGCATACAGAAAGTTGATAAATGGTTCTTATTTTAATAACCCGGGGGTCATGAACAGACACATTTGTAAAGTTAAGAAATCCAAAAATCCATTGTTCTCTTACTATGACATCATTATATCCATTGTTACTACAACTGATTCAGGAATTCTTACTGTTGCTTAGTTTCTCTTAATGACTCTCAGAATATCTAATTAGATTTGGCAATTGAAGATTTCTCATGAATACCAACTAGTTCAAAACACATGTTTACTATATGACTTTTTACATTTGAAAAACAAATGTTACAAAAATGAGATTCCAAATTTGGCATTTATTTACCACTGTATACTATTGAGTAAAACTTGTAGATCTGAATACAGCTCCGATTGAAAACATTTTCTTATTTATGTACAAGGTTTTATAATATGTCTAGGACTACTCGCATATTTATGCTAAAAATTCATAGATCTGGTTAAGTCATGTCATAAATATTTCTTATTTTCCTTGTTTCCTTCCCTTCATATTCCACATTTCACCTCTCATATTTCATTTTCAAAAGCTCATTCAACACACATTATTTATCCCTTTTTTAACATGAAAAATATCATTTACATTATGTGAATGGAGTAGCACTTAGGCCAAATCATGAATACAATTGATGAAAAACTTGTACATTTTTTGCTTGTATTAAATATGGCCCTTTTACTAATTGGGTCTATCATGGGCATTAACTTCCTTCAGATCAAATCTGCACTTTGACTAAGCTGCTCTACTTTTTGCATATGTATACAGAAACTATTAGAGTGGGTACTTTTAAGTGACCCTTATAAGCATTTAAAAAGAGATAAGCAACTCTCATAGGGCGACTATACCAGCCCTTAAAAGTGTCCTAAGAAGCAGTGTACTGCATTCAAGTACTTGCAGTTGCTAAGTAATGCCTTGGTCACATTTCCCGCGATTTTCACTACGGCGCCCGGGCGATTGAGTATTTTGTTGAAAATTGAATACAATATTGAACAAAACACTCAATCTGGCGGGTGCTGGCTGATGGATCGGAGCAAATGTGACCCAGGCATAAGGGGTGTCTTTGTCACATACTGCGAATTGGTTAATTTAACGCCATTCGTTCAATTTGGTGTGTTTTCTTGTACAGTCAACTAATTCAATTTGATCCACAAAATCCATTACAATACCATTGGATAACATGGTAAACTGGCAGGTATTAATTTGCAAGAAATGTCCAAAATTAAAGCTGGCACCAATTTAGAGTATCTCGTTTAGACTCATTTATTGTTTTCATGTTTTGACAATTGTATATTTGGCAATAGATGTCACTGTTGAATGTAACAGCAATGTCAGTGCTCAATGCACCATTTGTATGCATTCTCAAACATACGTAACCATGGTGACACTTTCATGTTCTTCCAATCATTTGGCATCCATGGCCATTGCCATGGTAACACACAGCGCTCAGGATGAGGCATCATAGCAAGATGGCGGCCATTACCTGAACAGAGACCAGCGATGCCATCTATTGAGCCATTTGGATTAAGTGGATATTGTTCTGTGGGTTTACCCTCATCATCGACATATTTTAGGGCAATAAGATTGTTCTCCTTAACCTGTGTGAGAATTTCCTCATTCCTGAATTCCATTTGCCCTGAAAAACAAACACCATTATCACCCACCATTTTAATATTTATAAATTCATATGGAAAATTTAAAGCACAGTGGGTCTAATATCGTAAAGAATACAGTAACTCCATTTAAACCATTCATTAAACATTTCATCAACCTTAAGAGATGACATCTAAATACTGCAGCAAAAGCATTTGTGTATAAAACGAGGAGGCTTATTAGTTCAATTAATTTCCATATGCAAGAGTCATTCAATAAATGCTGATACAAATGCATGATAAACATGAAAAGAAAGAACATCTGTATTAATGTTTATTTGTGATGACAAAGTCATTCATATCAAAATACTTCATTCATTATTCTACTAAGATTTATTTTTTAAATTTGATTAACATTTTTCATGTCACCTACCTTCCCCGTGGGCCACCCAGATCCCAAGTGTTGATCCTTGCATCCCAGACAACATTATCGATGGAGTTTCTCCAATATTAACAGTCGAAAAACGAGATTCAAACCTCTCTGATTTGTTGTGCGTCACAAAAACCCCCTGACCAGTGGTAGCACCTTCTATAACCAATTAACACCGACTATCAACACAACACAGCACAACACAGACAATAATTTTTTAACATGCATTCTCAAGAAAATTTAAAACTAAAATGTTTCATAAAATCAAGAGTTTCAAAAGAAAATTAATGAGAGCAACAGCATTGTGAAATTGTGTTTTCAAAACGTGTTCTCAGCTTGTCTCTATTACCCTTCAAGATGAAAGTTGAGAAAATATTGAAAAATCTGAACTATGATTTGTTCTACTTTTGTTAATACTTCTTGGAATTTCCCCAGAATAAATGTAGCCAGTATGACCCAGATTCTTATCATATAAAATGAACATCATCCAACCTACCTTGATTTTCTTTATTCTGAATCAATGAATCATCAGGGGCAACCCAACCAAGTAGCGCCATCAGCTGGCATCCGTTGCAAACTCCTAGACTGAATGTGTCACTACGCTCGTAAAAAGCTGCAAATTGAGCTTGGACTTTTTTGTTGAACAGCAGGGTGGCTCCCCAACCTAGTGAATAAATAGAGGATTATGAGAGGAATCTATAAAGGGAATAAAGCAAGGAATAGTACATCATATTATAGTCCAGGCACAAGTAGTAATAGACAAGGCATTAACATGACAAAATGGCTCCACCTATTTGTCAATTTGAGGCAAGTTGAAAAATACCTTTTTGACCTTGAGAAGGTCATTAAAGGTCAAATCTCAAATCTGATGTCAGATTTGAAAAAATAGAAGTCAGTCTACTAAACAGTGTCTGTTAAGTTAAAGGGGCAATAAGGACTGTAGAGAAAATCGGAAGGTTTTTTCATTTTTTCTGAGCTATCAAGGCAACATTTGGTTTAACATCTTCTTTGACATACCTATTTTCTTAAAATGTATGGATAAATTATCAATTTCAGCATTAAGAAGTGTAAATTCAGTTCAAAGCTTGAAAAAGGGGACTTCCACTTTTATATTTTTAAGATCCACCATGTTTCAAGAGGAATATCAGCTAAAATAATGTTTATCTAGGGGGTATCTTTGTAGATAATAAAAATAGATGTTAGTCTTGATGAACTATCCAAACTTAAATATATTTTGACACTGGTCCATGATCGTTGAATGACCCCTCTGCACTAATTATTGCACCTTTAATTGTTAAGGTGCCAATTGCAGGACGCCAACCACAAACCACCATAAAAAATGGAGACCATTACAGAATGTAACCACTTTTGGTGGTGAAACATGCATTTTTATGAACATGCTCGCCAGGAGCAAGACACACATTGATAAATATTGCACTTGAAGAGCAAAATGGCTGCCATATAATGTACCCAAGATGTCCAAAACCAAATCGGACTTGAGCACTAGGCTTCACTTGCATTTGTAAAAATTTGAAGTTGAATGGATGAGTGGTTTTCCAAGAATTTTGATGACAAGATTAATGTGGTGTTCTCCCAATGAGGAGCACGATACGATATACAGAAGGTTCGAAAAACTATCATACGGTCCTACCATCATTTTTATTGTTCACTGAGCGATCAATTTCATAAAAAAAGAATCTACATGTAACTGCGATCAATGGACTATAACCATTTGCCATATGTTGCACTGTGTTAAAACCAGAAATAATTCTCGTTAAATCATACCTTTAGCAGATCCAAACACATCAGCATAACTGAACCCCCCAACAAAGACGACACCACGGAATGTTTCCAAAGTAATCGCACCCTCGGACAAGTCTTGCATGTTAATGTCCCAGGCTTCAAAACCAGCCATATGTAATGCGGCAATCATCTCCCTGTCTCCGTTACTACCCTCTTCACGGACAACAGCTACCTTAGGTCGCACTGAAAATAAAATACATTAAGCAGTCAAGTTTTAAATGTGAAATATTGCAAACAAAAGTTCCTGACAAAATGAGTTGGAAATATGTGAATGGTGCCGATTTTAACATAAAGTGGAATTGTAAAATCAATGTCTAAGAACATCATTTTTATAGCACTTGACGATGCTGAGAAAAATGCTTGCAGTTCCTTAATGTATGTTATATTACCTAGTGATGAAGGGTTGGATATTTTGAGCAGTGGTTGAGTGAAGTATCTTGGAATATCAATTCAGTATTTCTTGTTTGCAAATGAGTTACAAATGTTCAATATAAGAGATACAATTTTGCTTTTTTTTCCTGAAATTTATGATCTGGAAATAAAAATTAAATACAACTGATTTCCAAGTTACCTGATGGTTGAACACTTGGAATTACTTTCACAGCAGGGTCAAAGGTCAATGAGTAGGGAGGTGCCACTCTCTGTTTAAGCCCCTCCTCTTCCTGTTGAGCTGTGTGGGGATTGGACTGTAGATGTTCTAACTGACAGCTAGTCTCCTCCCATATATCTCTAAGGGCAACCATCTTCTCATCCAGAACAACATTTGATCCTACTGATATCTTGATCTTAAGAAAATAAAATCAATTTATATAATTAAATTTGGGTAAATGTCTGTTTTGTGGTGATTGCATGGTCTGCTAATTTCAGACTACTTTGCTCTTGTGTACGCCATAGAGTGATCCAGGGTGTTTGACAGTGGTCCACAACTCCTACAAAAGGAGGTGGTGTGTTCTTGTTTGTCTGCGTGTCAGTGCACATAAAATAACACTTGGCTCCTTTTAGGAGGGTTTTTGGGTGCTTCAGTGATATTTGGATCACAGTCAAGCCTACTATAAATTACTGTATGTAATGTAACAAATAGGTTATATAACATATACATAAAACACCTTCTTGGTTATGATTTTTCTTTCATTTTGAATTACTTATACAGGTATTTTTTTGCAATTTTATAATTAAAAAGAAAAGCCACAAGTGAAATATGGCAGGGTTTATTTAACAGATTTAAAATTGAGAGGCTTCCAAAAAGATAAGAGATACAATGGAGGGTACAGGATCTCGATACACAGCCAATATAATTCGACGCCGTTCCGGCATCAAAAAAATTTGGCGCTGTTCCAGCATCGTTTTGACACCGTACCGGCAACAAAACCTTTCGACACCAAAATTTTGCACCGAAACGGCGTCGAAAATCAGATTGCATTTTGGGGGTGTACAATACAATTCCTATTTCTTAATTATCTTGAACTTTTTTACCTGTGCCTCAGGCCCTACTCCTGCAGTGGTCCCAATATGGTGACAGGGCACATTACGTCCCTGATATCTCTCCAATACAGCAGTTGTGTTATCTAGAGAAACCTCAAGGACTAAACCCAACTCCTCCGCAAACAGAGTTTTGATCATATCTAGAAAAGTATGATGAACAATTACTATACAATTAACAAGAATAATTTTTATGATATTGCCAGGATCTACACAGCATTCAAAGGGGGCGATCTTTTTACATTAGGTATATTCTCCTTACTCAAAGGTTTCTGTTTTTCAATGAGACCTATGAGAAATGAAAAGCATACCTGTAAAGAATACTGAAAATTACTCATAAATTATTTTGAATACGTAAAATTACTCATAAATTATTTTGAATACTGAAAATTTATTTGAAATACTTAAAATTACTCAAATTATTTGGAATACTTAAAATTACTAATAAACTATTTGAAATTTTGTAAATTACTATTAACCATTTTGGAATACTTAAAATTACTCATGAACTATTTGGAATAGTGAAAATTATTCATAATTGAAAAAATGAGAAGCATAAATGATTTCATCTGATAAGATAATGATTGTATTACCTGACTGTGAGAGGGTTAAATTGATGCCAAAATTCCCAGCAAATGCCATCTCAAGGACACATGTTACTAGACCTCCATCACTGATATCATGACCTGATAGTAACATTTTGTCTGAAAAATACAATGGCGTCGTTATCTTATATCTACAAGTTATAAAGGTTGGTTACTGTATCATATATACAGAAATGGATTGTATGAATTTCAAATAAAAAAAACAACAAAAAAACATTATAACCTAATAACTTCAAGCAACGCAATACACGAGGCATTAACATGCAAAATGGCACCACGTGCCATTTGTTACAGATACCTACCGCCTAACACAGACCACCACTTCTAATGGTGACATAATAAACCATTACCAAATATGGATTGAATTTTTGTCATACCTTTAATAAGACCTTGAGTAACACTGAATGCAGCAGAAAGTAATTCAGGCTTGTCTAAATCTGGAGACTCGTCACCAAGTTGACTATAACATTGAGCTAGTGCACTTCCCCCAAGTCTGCTCTTCCCAGGGGCAAGGCTCACCCAGAGCAGATCTGATTGTTCGGATTTGAGATCTGGGGTCAAGGTCGCTGTGATGTCAGGGCAACCAACGTACGCAGAGATGACCAAGGCACCTGGAAAAGTTCAGTTTTGTTTTGAAAAAAAACAAACATTTTATTTTAATCTATATGGCCCTAGGGCCATTAACTGTTAAATCAAGGAAAAATGTAATCTTTACTCATATTCTTCTTATTCATGCTCTGTGTGATACAATTTACAAAGTATACAAACCTGGTGCTTTGACCGTTTCTCCCTCAACTCTCGCAGCCATACTAAGTGAATCCTTCCCACCATCTATCGCAATACCTAATTCTTTCATGACATCACACATAGCCTGACATGCATCAAATAATGCTGCACCCTCGCCAGGAAGCTTAGCTGGCCACATCCAGTTTCCGCTACATTTTACATCCTAATATATAGAAATACGATAATACAGAAAATAATATTCATAATTCCATAGCGTCACACAGCTTAAGAGGTCAAATAATGCACCAAATATACAGTGCATGATGAGCATTCCATTCCTTGCTCCATAGGACTAAGGGCATTCAGTGGACTATTGAGGTGTATATTGATCACCTTTCTTTTGTCTGTTTATACTTCATGCTTCCACTCAATTTGAATAGGTTAGAGGTTTGCCTCAAACAAGGACAAGATTTACTGTAGAAGTGGTAATTTTGCCTATTTTCTCATTTTTGCCAGGTTCGGAAAATTAAATGTCGGAAATATTGTCTTTATAATGTTATCCAATAGGAGGTTTCTTGTCATTAGGAAAATGATGAAATTTGACCATTCGGAAAATTAACCGCTCGGATTAAATACCACTTATACAGTATGTGGTCCCCACCCACTCACCTGCCCACACGCCCATACAAATGTATGCCCCTCATCAGTACAAGACAACAACAATAAAGCAGTTTGGAAAAGTGTGATTATAAATGTCATTTCTTACTTTCAAGTCAGTGACTCTTGCAAAGACAAGATTGGTCAGTGCTTCACCGACAGCCATCCTAGCCCCGCATCCAGGGTCTATTAGGCCTTTGATTGGTTGTTCACCTATAGACGTCGCTGATCCAACCTGAAAGAAAAAATTTAAGATTTATGTCGATTTTTAACTTCTTACCACTTGACATATTTGACTATGATCTTAAACCAAACACAAATACAACAAATTTTTCCAAAATCGCCTTTTGTTTTTGAGAACATTTAGCATGTTATCAGAAATTCTAATGAAACCTAGTGTTTCATTTTCACATGTAAATACCAACTCAATTTTAAATCCAGTTAAAATATACAAAACTAAGGTATAAAGCAAGGATAAGTTCTAAGACCCCTTGTTTAACATAGTTTTACTTACAGTGTCAAAGTGTGAGAGTGCAGTTACAGCTACATCAGCCAAGGGAGTGTGGAAAGGACCTACACACTGTTGCTGCGCCACAAGACCCGTCACTGACCTGTCAAATAATAAGTTTGTAAAGTCGTGTTACGTTATCAATGTAAAAATATTCATGTTGTTTTTTCGCTTCCTGGTCAACTCAACCCCAAGTCAACTCAACCCAAGTCAAGTCAACCCTTAGTCAAGTCGACCCCAAGTCAAGTCAACCCTTAGTCAAGTCGACCCCAAGTCATCTCAACCCTTAGTCAACTCGACCCCAAGTCATCTCAACCCTTGGTCAACTCAACCCTTAGTCAAGTCGACCCCAACGATTTCACTTGTTTTTAGTAGGGTTAAAATACATTATCATATAATATATCATTATATTTTAATAGTATTTCGTTAAATATTTTGATAGTATATGAATTATTAAAGGAATAAATCTATAATAGATAATCATGGTAAAGGTAAACATTCCTATTTGAATCCTATTTGATTAATGCAAAGAATTTCTTCCCTAATTCAAAAAGTTTATTACATTGAGAAAATATACTGTTTTTAATTATAGACTTTTTGATTTACTGGGTACTGAGTTAAGTTTTTTCTAATACATGAGTTCTTGTGAATTTGTTCCATCATAAAGACATATAAATCCCCCCTCCATCCTATCCCCCCCCCTCCATCCAATATCGATTATTTTTTGTATAACGCTTGGAAACTAACTTTAAAAAGTGAGCAATGTCATTAGTATTGTGATAATAACGTCCCTTATACAGGGTGATCATTAAGTTCTGGGAATTGGTCTGCCATATCAAGATTTCTCAACCATTTGAGTTGAAATTTTCAGCAGGTGTTCATTGTATAATTCTGAATTGACAAGCAATGTTTCATATACATATCACATCTACAATTTATTTTATTGTAATTACAAAAAAAGTAAAAGTGGTTTGCGGGTCAGCAAATTTTGACTGATGTTAATTTGAAAATTTCCTGCCAAAACATATTCATCTTGCTTAGATAGTTGCTTCAAACTACCTGTACTAGAAGCAGAACAGTACTCTTGAAGTCATTTATTCAGAAGTATTCTTCATTGCTGAGAGGATCATTTCATTTATGATTGTTTCCATTAGCCTTGGACGCACATGCGTTGTTGACAAACTTAGTCCATAAAGATGTGTTCTAGTCCTCCCTTTGGTATCCCTTGAAGATTTGCTCAAGTCGTTGAAATCAGTCCCTTATTGGAAAATAGGCGACTAAGAGTTGAGATGACCAAGGGTTGAGATGACTTGGGGTCGAGTTGACTAAGGGTTGAGATGACTTGGGGTCGACTTGACTAAGTGTTGACTTGATTTGGGGTCGACTTGACTAAGGGTTGAGTTGACTTGGGTTGACTTGGGGTTGAGTTGACCAGTTACCGTTATACACACGTCATGCAATGCAGTAACACTATATAACAACAAGAATCCTGCTTTAGTTTAATCTACCTTATCCTAAAATAATGATGCAAACCTTTTGTTTAAATATTAGTTTGAAAAGAAAGTTTGTATTAAAGCATACTGATGGAGAAAATTGCAGATTTTTATAACCGATTTAGATTTCAGGTATTTTAGCCTCAGAGTCTGAGACTAAACCATCAAAGGAACTAACCTATCAACTTTGTTTGTGAGGTAACGTTTGCTTGCAACTGAGGGAAGACGCAGTACTCTATCTAAGGCAGTCTTCACAGTGAGATCATCTGGGAAACTAAGCGACTTCAATGTAGGTTTAGTCCTACTTAGGTTGAATGTCTGAAATATGTAAGTACAGTATACAGTGCAGTAAGTACAGTACAATATAAGGAAAACTTACATGTATTCAATATGTACTTGAGATGAACTATCATATGCACTGAACACTTTTTGTATTCTCCAAACATGACACTTGATAAATATTAGAAAGTAACAACTGAAATACGTTCTCATAGATTTATGGAATAAGCTACATTTACAACCTGGAATTTTGTATCAATGTTTTACATTCTTTGCTATAAAATATCCTTTCCCAAGTGAAAGAAAAATTCACAATCCAAGATACAAAAAATGATGCTATGTTAAAGCAATTTGAGTGTTCAAATAAAAATATTTGATGGATCTATCCCCCCTATCACACCAAACTAGTTCTTACCCATTCTTGCCAGTCCTACGAAAACGTCGTAAAACGGGCTCAATCTGGCTGTGGTCGGGAAATATGTCTAAAATAATTAGCTACTTCGTTCAAAAACAGTCTTCAATACGTCCATCTCATTCGCACTTCGTTCAGGTTGCACCATGTCGGTGTGAAACGTCATATAATGCGTCCATTAGTCTAGAAGGTCATCATGACCTGCTTACAGAACCGCATGGTCACCATCGAATTTTGAATCGATTCAAAATTCTAAATCACATTCCCTGTCCGGGAAAGTCCATGAAGTTTGTAAACAGACTGTAGAACATTGTAGCTATGTTCATTCCATTCACACACAGTTTAGAACCAGTTTTGAAGAACGTAGTGGCAACTTGCTTGGTGTCAATCTAGAGGACCTACCCGTTCGAGTAGATTCTATGAAGTTTGTAAATAGACCCCAACCGGTTCTAAGTACATCCAGTCCGTTCGTACACAGTTTAAGCCCGTTTTCGAGAACGTAGTGAGAACTAGTTTGGTGTGATAGTAGGGTTAGAGATTACTTTGGCTCTATTAAATCAAATATTCTTACCTTCCTGGGCATTGAGCCCATGACGTTTTCTAAGTCAAGATCGACAGGGAAATCAATGTGTGTCTTAATTCTTTTCTCAGGTGGGCCATCTCCATTTGTGTGTCCATTCATTGCACCACTGTCATCAAGGTTTTCAAGTTTCACCTGTAAGCGTTATAATTTTGTATAGTAAATTCTGTCTTACCCAAATACTAACAGGGCTAGTCAAAAGTTTTTGGATTGACAGGTGTTCACATTTCCAGTTTTTTCAACATGACTGTCTCTGACAAATTAAGTAAACATTGAAAGGTGTTCAGATTAGAGAGGAGTTTGGATTATACAGATAGACCGTAATGTACTATAACAATTTACCATAGATCTTGGACTAGAATCTTACTCAATGCTTATACAATTAATGGCTTGTTGCCAGAGATTTACCGAATAAAAGATGTAGGCCTATGTGAAAAGTGATGTAATATCACAAGGTCAAAGCTGTCAATAACAAGTAAAGTTTATAGGGGTCTGAGTCATTGTGTTTTCAAATGTATTCTAATTTCATGCTTTCTCATCTCCATTACCTTCCCATCTCCAGTAACGGTCCCTACAAAGTCAATCGGACATTTCTCTCGTTGACCAATCAGCTTGAGTGTCTCAACGTCTTTAGGTCTGATAAGTGCTGCATCACTCTCCTGATATTCGGCTCCCCATAGCTCTAGGACACTGATGGTGGGATCAGCCAGTGTGAAATCTTTAGCACGTATCAATGCACCAGCTGGTTCCACAATCTCCTTCAATACATTGCCTGAAAAGAAAGGAAATATTTCACTTGAAGATGTACACTTTATAAAATATTGCCTCCAAGAAACTGTAAATATTCTGAACCAGTTTCATTCCTTATTCCTTATATGGACAAAATGAGAATTTTTCAAGAAGATGAAATGATATAAAGAGAGATGAAGAAAACACTATGTTCAAATTGAAATGTTATTTGCACAACATGAGATAACATATAAAATATCTAAGCCTATCTCACTCTGTTAGGAAATTATCACTTAAAGCTAAAACATTTCATCAAAAACAAGTAAGACTTCAGCATGCTCATATCTATAATAATAGAGCTTGAGATATAAATACTTGAACTTAGTGTTGCTAACCATTTCCACCTGCCCCTTGATCATGTATACTGCATATAGGATTCTCTTTTCCCATCTCTATACAGGCTCTAATGACACGATTTAATTTCTGTTCCATTTCAGCGTCGCCACGTTGAACGGCACCAAAATCGAGCTCTGATGTATTGTCCCCCTGTACTTCGATAGATGAGGCAGCCCCACCCCCCACTCCTATCCTGTAGACTGGTCCCCCTATCTTAACCACCTCCATACCTTTAACATACAGAATTTTGTAATTAGCAATTTACCTTATTTCATTCAGAAGTTTTCATGTTGAAGTATTTGACCATTGCCTAAAGGACCACGCGTTGTATTCAGAATACACAGAATACCAGTATGGGGGAAATTTTTCCATACATTTTGCTTATGATTTTACTTAGTATGTTGAGTATTTAAGTGAAAATGAGTGAGTTGATTATTCAATAATAGCTTTAAAGATTTTGTAAATTCCATTAGAATTTCTGCAAATATTTCTGATATATACTAGTGCAATCTTCAAAATATTGTTTAATCAACATGTTTTTTATCTTATTTCCAAATAGGATAAACATTTGCATGGGGGGTTAAATCAATTTAAATCATATACCAGGTTCTGCCTCCTCTTTTTTAGAGTGTATATGGTCCATTGAACCCATCCCTGCACTGAACATGATTGGCTTAATCCATTCCCGTCTTTCCTTGTTCCCAGTTAGCATTCCAAATGACCGGGAAAAACCAGCTAGAACTGGTTCACCAAACTTGTTCCCATAGTCAGATGCCCCGTTGCTGGCTTCTATGGCAATTTCTAGAGGTGGGGCGAAGTTTGTTGGATATGAGAGTGTTTTGTCTTCCCATGGTAGTTCATAGCCTATAAAATCAAATAATATGTTACCATATTCTTCAACCATTGTAACATATGATATCTCAAGTTACTTGTTCAATTACGAATATGAAATATGTGTGGGAATAAAATAATGAGTCATATTTCTATTAAGGCACAGATATAACAGACAATATACAGTGAGTAATGAGAAAATTAAGCCCACTCATTCAACTTTAAAGTACCTACCAGGTATATGCAGGTTACCAAAGCAGTAGCCAGCTGTACCAGCCACCACATGTGCTCCTATACCAGTAGCCTGGACGTCACGAATACGCCCCCCTGTGCCGGTTGTAGCCCCTGGGAATGGTGCCACCCCTAAAGGAAAGAAAGAAATACAGTAATACATATTGCATATATGTATATGGAACATTTTTGATATATACAAAACAATGTTTCATTTGGGAGGTGTTCCACTTATGGAGGTGTTCCACTTAACAGGTTATACTGTATTATAAATGAAGGCCTAGCCTGCAGGTTGTAGAATTTTAAGCTCAACTTAAGATTTTGAAACTAACATGACATAGTACTAAATATTCAGATGTACCTGTTGGAAAATTATGCGTCTCAGCTGTAAGTATTATATGCCTAGTGATGCCATCTATAGGTCTCATTGGGCTCGGTTTTCCACACTTGCTGGGGTATAAGAGCTTTGTCTCAAACCCTGCTATGGCGCTAGAAACAACAAATAATACAGGCAAACAATAAGAGAATATGCCAAACAATAAAGTTTATGCCAAACAACTGAAATATCAGACAAAAAATGCAAAGTCAATCAACTAAGGGATATGCTTAACATCTCGGAGTTATTTCAAACGTTTAAAACAAGTAAACAGCTGAACATCGCATATTTAAGAGGCATGTTAACAATACCTGCTGTTGTCATGGAACTTAATGATGTTGTTACTGTTGCTATGACACTGTGTTTCCATCACCATCTTGAATAGAGAGTCGGGCATCTCCTTTCCCTCAACCACCATCTTCCCCTTAAAGAACCAATGACGGCTGTGCTCACTAAAATCAGAAAAACTTCAAATGTAACTACTGTATAAACGAACTGTACTAATGAGGATTAAGATACAAGGGTATCCTGGGTATAACTAATTGCAACATGAAACAGATGACACAGAAAGTAAATATAATTTCTATGATAAATTCAAATAATATACAAAGCATGGTTCATGCAGTATGCAATATCAAAAATTGTTTTTATCTTTTCAGTGACTGTTGCACAGTTTTGTTTAACAACATATTTCATTTGAACTACAATACAAAAATAAAAATCGTCAACATGCAAAATATCAAAACCTGCCATTTGCTACAGACACCAAACACTAACCGCCGATTACTGTCCATGAAAAGCTAAGAGAATATAACAATATGTCACAAATTCTGGTGATGACATAAATTTCAATTTCACATGAACGAGATCTTACCTATTTGATTGTGCCAGGTCAAAACATTCAACCGATGTAGGATTTCGTTTGATTTTATCTCGAAATAATGTTGTATAGAATTCCAGATCCCAGTCATCAAATGCCAGTCCTGAAATAAGGAATATTTTCTTCAATTCATAATGTATTCCTAAGAAAGTAATCTCAGCTGACACCCCTCATTCAGATATTTTTCTGCTGTTCTCTGTTTCAATTCATAGTAATAAATCACAAATGTTTAGAAACGTTTAGATGTCCATATGCACTGAAAAGAAAGCATTGCATACTTTCCAAATTTTTGTTGCATTACACCTACGCACATGTGCTTATCAATTTTTGCAATAAACCCTCTATTTCAGAAAACATCTAGAGCAATGTCATGAAACTTATATAGTACAGTACATAAGGAAATACAGTACAAGAGGTAACCAACAAATGTTTGAAAGTAAAAAGTTTATGTCAAACATATGAAAGTCTCACTGTACCAGATAGACTTTCATATTTCAAATTAATTACTTCTTTCGTATCATATTGTTAAAACCTTCAGAATGAAAAGAGGAATGCAATATCTTTTACTCAAGTTCAGATCTATTAGAGATCCCACAATATTTTTTTATGTGGCATGTGTTTTAATTTTGCACATAATTCATTCATCTGCGCATAAATTTTGCATGATTTACATTTTTTTAAAGAATATTTCACAACCTCAAATTTTCGCCTGCATAATTCTGGGATCTACAGTATGTATTCACTTATGTGTCACATATACATGCGGAACCAAACATCGCCTACCTAAATGTTTATTTGCTTTTTCAAGAGCTGCTTTCCCATTGGTCATAATATCAACCTCGTAAACAGCCTCTCTTTGGATATGCAAATCAAAGCTGCTGATTGGCTGAAGGTATCGACATTGTGTCATTCTATCATGTAAAGCATTCACAATGCCATCGCAGGAGACTAATGATACACCATTTGGTTGCTGAAACAAAATGGATTGGACTGTTTTCTGTTCTGCACGTGGATGCTTTAGTTTAAGGATGGTATTAAAATATTCAAGTAGATTTCTTTCAATTAACTTTTAGATGTAACATTGTTTTGGGGGCTGGTCTTATTTGATGGATGAATCACTTTTTCTCCCTATTGAAGAGTGCTAAAGAGAGACTCCCATTGAAGTTGGAAACTTTGTTCTCTCCTTCTTTGTTCAAATGGTGACGAGAGTCTGGTGAATTAATCAAATAGCAAACCATAACATACATTTGAAAAACTAATGAAAAATACAGACTTGAAACTGCATGGATGACGAGATACTCACAGTGAAGGTGATAAGATATCTAGTGGTGCACTCTATCCTAGTGACATTCTTTAATCCAATGGATTGGCAAATCGAGACGGCATTTGTAGAGAAAGCTGTTGAAAAGTTCAGCCTACAACAGATAACAAGGCAAAAACATGCCACAATACTGCCATCTATTTATCCATGTAATTCGCAACTAATAACAACATGTAACAGGCCAGGTACAGTTTAAAATTTGAGTTCTTTTGTATTTACCATTCAACTATTTAATGAGTTAATAGGGTGTAATTGGCTCAGTTTTAGTGCAGTACATGTGACAGTCAATCATCTATTGTACCATACTGGTTTTGTATAGGTTGCCAAAATGTCAATTCTTTATAAACAATAGAACAAGGCACAGGACATGAACGAGATCACACCATCAAATAGGCAGATACTATGAACCAGGAAAACTGTTCTCCTATTATGTTTACAAATTTCAAGAACAAGAAAACAAGATGGCCGCTCAAAAGTTAATCAGCTCTAGTACTTCATATGCTCTATCATCTCTGCGAATTTGGAGAAAATCTGATGAGCAGTTTTCCTTAAACGGCGATGACAAAAAGCGGGACGATCATGATCACCACCACGATCACGACCACGATCACGACCAGTATGACGACTATATCCCATCGATGGTGTGATAAAAAGGAGGGACTCTTCTTTGTTACAACTGTATATTCTTTAAAACTAAATTACAGTTCATTCTATTGTGCTGCTACCTAAGTGGGGTTTAAAAGTGGAGAAAAAAATTGTCAAGAAAAACCTAGTGTCTTTAAAAACAACCTGTTGCTAGTAACAAATCCACAGGATGTTTTAAATCCATGATTAAAGATTGGTGTGCAAAATATGAAGCTGCTTACCTGGGTCCAATTTCAATGAGTAATTGTTTCTTTTCATCCCCAACTAGAAGTTTACTCTGTTTAGTTGTCTGGAGTTCTTCAAATGGTGTAGATATAACCCATTCTATCATCTTCTGGTCTTCAACCTCAAGATCTGAAATTAGTTTTGTAAATTGAATGAAGTTAATGTAAAATGGTGGGGGTAAATTTTGGGGTCAATAGTCCATTTCACATTTTCTCTCTATTTGAAACTCGCATTCATTAAGGCAAAATCTTATATTTCAGATTTGATTGATGAAGAAAAACATTGAAACGCATTGCAGCGGTTTTACTTTAAAAATTCCATCAATTCCAAATTTAAAATAAAAATATAACGAACGAGAATAATGGCAATCAGTTCTTATTATAGCAGGGAAACAAATTATTTTCAGCGACAAACATACGTTCAATGCAACACTGAAGACAGAAAGGGTGTAAAGACGGTAACATGTTGCTAAAAAACAAGTCTAAACAACTAGTTACTTTGATGTAATGAGTGTATATTCTCAATATTTAACCCAAATTATGATCTGCAATTTGATTTGAAAGTAGGTTTAAATTGAAAAAACAAAATATCTTACCAAACTTGAACACAGGCAGCTCTCTATTTTGTAACATTGACGTATATCAAACAAAACAAGTTAAGGAACAGTGATATTGTGACTTGGACTTACTTCTTTTAGTATCAATGTAGAAACAAAGTTCAGTGTCTATACTCTGTAATGTCACTCCTTCTGGAAGCTTGTTGGAAAGTTTTTCTGATACCACCTCTATGGCACATTTGCTCAGTGCAGGCTTTTTATAGTTGCATAACACAACCATCTTGGGACCCTACAACTGTAATAAAAAAGAAAATATATATGCATGCAGTGATCTCCACAGGATTTTCTTCTCAAGTGGTGGCAAAATTCTCATTTTCACAATTAAGACCAAAATTGGTCAAAAGATGCCCATTTTCATGATTTTTTTTCATTTTCAAGTGGGTGCGAATGGATTTTCAGGTGGGTGCAAGCCTATTTTCAAAATCTCAGGTGGATACTGCGCCCATTTGCTTTAATGCTGGGGAGATCACTGACTTGTGATAACTTTCTTTTTCAATATCTATTATTTTTTATAAAAGTATTCTGTCCAAATTAATAAAAAATAAAATCTGACGATATGTGTTTTTATTATAAGACTAATAGTTATCCAAAGGGTCAAATTAACAAAAAATGTGTTTTGATTATCATCCCTAGTAGTTATCCCGGGAGTTATCCCAGAGTCAAAACTGGTTACTGGAGCAATCAAGTTGTCAATTAAGCCATTTCATTTTTAAGCCAACTGAGCAATGCCTGAAGGTGGCATGCAGTAAATAATTAGAGCAGATGTGTGGCTTTAGAAGTATTAGTCATAGAAAGAGGAGGGAAAACCCCATGATTCAATTGATGACATACGATTTCCTCCTTCGCGCACCTCCTTTACGTATACATGTATTTGTTTACCCTCCATCTTGGTTTTCAAAGTTTTCAAATTGACCTAGTTTTAAACCAATCAACGATCGACTCGTTAAACCAATCAGCGACGATGTCATCTAAATACAGATTCATATTATAAGCATATGTCATCTTTGAACCCTGGTTTTTTTTCCCCCTCCTAGGCATAGACTCTTGTTATGTATGTGTGAAGATGTTTCTGGTAATATTGGATTGTCTAGCACTCTAGCACTGACACTTCTTACTTTTCCCTCACAAAATATTTGTTTCTGGCATAATTAAGCAGTCCCAGAACTTGTTATTCTACTTTGTGTCTTTGATATTGTTTCAATGAAATTATCATATCAATGTGTAGACAAATTTTCAAATAATAGATTGTGTAAATTTTCATGAAACAAAAATGGAATATGCACTAAAGAGAAAATGCAAGTTTTAGTGTATAAACCTAAATTAGCAATCAAAGGACCATAGTGCTAAATCACATGGAAAATGAAGCATGAAAAAACCTATATATATATATTTCAAATTAGTAAGTGCCAACGTCAATGATAAACATAACACCTCATAATCAACACCTCTGACTAATTATCACGATGTTAGATTCATTTGAAAGTGGACCTCGTGCAAAGAAACCTGAATCTTTGCTTCTTTATATTTAATTACTACATGCTAGTTAAGGTTAGCCATTCTTTCTTCCCAGCTTTCATTATATTAAAGTAGCATGATTGCATTTCAAAAGTGTGCAGGAACAATTAGAAAGATGTTTTTTTAATCATCATGAAACGTCTATAATATTATGGAACCAGAAGCTCTGAAAATCAAGAAAGTACAGGGTGTGTAACTTTTTTAGAAGGCTAGAAAAGGTGAACATAATGGTATTGACATATTTTTTTACAGAAACTCAAGGATAGGCATATTTTAGCATTCAAATACCTAAAAGCTAATACTGATTTTTTTGTCAGATGTTTGAATATTCATAGGTAAATTGTTCATGTGTCCAAGATTTACCGAAAATGTGATTTTCTATGATTTTACGTGATTATCAATAGCACATTTATTATGTTTACTAAATCTACAATTTTTGATAAATGGTGTATTGAGCAGCCATTAGGAGTAATGAATCGAATGGTATTCTCCTCCAGATATTCCAAAGTGACTTTTGCTCAATGACTGTGAGCGCTATCTTGGTGGAATATGTAATCACCTGGGGGTGAAAAAGCTAATTAATAGATAAATAGACAGTAAAATAATACCACAGTGACTAGATACTGATAAAAACCTGAACTAGACATTGGTTAAACAGTAATCAAAGTAATCAAACATAATGGATGTGATATTGTTGATCACATGGAATCATAGGAAGTCACATTTTCTGAAAAAAACCTGTAAATTTCAAACACATGAACAATTTACCATAGAAATTCAAAGATCTCACAAAAAATTGAAGTAAGTATGAGCTTAGTTTTCTAAGCAGGGAGACATGGAATACCTCTATATATCTTTAGTCACATGGTATCTAATTGACCAATGAGAGAATGAGTATCACAGCATTGAAATAATAAAATATTGAATTGAACCCCATTCATCATATAACATATATACTGTACATAGATTTTATATATATTTTTATTTTAGGGTGGTCAAAAAAATGGAAACCCTGCATATTCCTAATATCTTTGTCATTTTAAGAAATTACTCTCTGATATTTCACACATTTGTTCATCATTCGATTTCCTACCATCCTCCCAAATGTCATAACCATCAAACTGATAGTCACTTGAATAACATGCTTCAAGTTTGGCCATCATCGCGCTGTAGGCAAACCTGCACAGTTGTCAATGGGCCAAATGCATTCCTCAGAAGGTATGGCCTGAATGATACAGATGATCTCACTTTTTAAGTTTGTGATTGTCTTGAGGTCATTCTCATACACTTTTTCCTTGCCATATCCCTACAGGTAGGGACATTTTGGACGGCGAGTGCAGGTGGCCCGACAGTGCAATAGTGGCCACTAGGGCATGTTCTGTAAAGTGTTGAAACATTGTGACTATCAATCTGATGGTCATGAAATAAAGAAGGCTGGTAGGAAATTGAATGATGTACAAATGTGGAAGTTATTTCTTAAAATAAAATGACAAATATGAGGAAAATGGTGTAAGGGTTTCCATTTTTTTACCACCCTGTATATGACAATCAACATTGAAATCTGGTCGAACTGGATGTTTGACATACTTTCGAAAAACTGAGTAGGTAGAAAGTAGTCGGAAAAGGGTAGATTCCATGACAGTTACATTATCCATAATGATGAGAAACTTTACCTTTGTGGTTGATGTTTTAACTAGAAATTAGCAACCTCTCAAAGTAGAGAATCCCAACGAACGCTATATTCATGAATCTGTATATGTCAGAATGTAATATTTAATTACCATCTGGCAGATATTAAAAGGAATTAAATACATATATTAGAGATTTATCAGAATTTCCAATTTAAGCATTTTGGTGACCATTTAGGAGCAAATTCTTACTCTAGGCAGCCATTTTGAATTTATTTTCAAAAGGACGAATCAGATAATTTTGAAAAATATTTAAGTTATTGGAGGTTGTAAGACTTTGTAGCCCTTTGCCATCAGGAAGTATTTTGACCCACTTTTTAGATATGGTGTCTGAAAAGTAGGACATATCTGAATCTGATTCAGGAATCTGAATCTGAAATCAGTTTTACCTTTTGCCTGTAACAGTTTAATGCACACTTTCTGGGGTTGGATTTCGAGTGGTAAGTCTTCTATGAATGACGACAGAAAGTAATAACTTGCGGACATATAAGGTGTATATATGAGAGGACAGTCTCCAGTGAGCATGTCACCAATTAGTATTTTGTTGATTTCACTGATGCCCTAGCTGCTGATGTTTAAAAGTTATGTAAGGTGAAGAACATATATTTTGACAGTAATTACAGATAATTAGAAGGATCGGGTTGCATCTGTAAGGATAAGGGTATAATTGTCATTTTCCAGAGCCAATAGGAGTTTAGAAGAGTAGGAATTGACAAGTTTATTTCTTGGAGATACACGTCACAGTGATCTCCCCAGGATTTTTTCTCAAGTGGGTGCAGAATTCTCATTTTCACAATTCAGACCAAAATTGGTCAAAATATGCCAATTTTTCTCATTTTCAAGTGGGGGCAAATGGATTTTCAGGTGGGTGCAAGCCTATTTTCAAAATCTCAGGTGGGTGCTGCGCCCACTTGCTTTAATGCTGGGGAGATCACTGCGTCAATACAAGAGTATGAAAGATGTTTTATGTGTGCCAGTCCATTGATAATTGGTTGAGAAAGGGTATTGTTAAGTTTTTTTCATATGCGAGGGTACATGATGCATTGTGAAAGTAGATATAACATGGATGGCATATAGGCGGAGTTTATTTTTGTGAACAAATGGTTATTATGGCCGCTGTGCTTTTGACGTGTACGAGATTTGAATTTGATCATGATGCCAGGGCTGTAGGGAGAGGGGCTTCGCAGGGTTCGTGTGAACCCCCTCCAAATCTTGCCTAAATAAATTCAAACTCACCTTTTCCGGCAATTATGCGAACCCCAAGAGTTGGGGGAGTTGTTTGTTGAATGAATCGGGGCTGTTTTTTTCATGCATTATGCGAAGTTTTTCATCCAAAAAACATCAATATACTTTAAGACATTTTATTGACTATAAGATGGCACCATATGATCTCAAAAAATATTTCTCATTTTCAAGGATTATCTGTGGATTTACACCCAGGTATTTTCATTTTTCAAACTTCAGAAGGCTGAATCATTACATTGATAATCAATGCTTTTGAATATTATAAAAACTGTTTTAAATAGGTTTCATATATGCCAATAATTTCTCAAATTGTGTGAACTGTTTGAGGAATTTCCCATAAAAATCCAATGGTACAATTCCAAGCAGATTTTGAGATGACATTAAAGTAAATCTTTTATACACACCTTATTGGGTTGTTTTGGTTTATATAGCAACCCAAAATAATAACCTGATCACTCTCATCAATGTCATAATTGCAAGTTGGCAATTGACTGAAATACTACAAGTAACATCATAATGATCTGCCAAATAGGTGCTAATGCAGTGGAGATGATAACCCCATTTAACGTGAAGTACGTCAATTGCCATGTTGCATGACAATTGACGTGAAAATATGAAGCATAAGTACGCATGTCAATAGATAATAATGACAACTGACATCATGTCTGTCAAGTGATGTAACGGCAATTGGTGTGCAAACTATTATCTTGTAAAAGTTTCACATATTATCGGCAAGACGACAGGCAGTTATAAACTGGGAAACTAGTGGGTAAATCATGATCTGCATCGTATGTAATAGTTATAACTAGAAAAACAGCAACTCCACGCAGTAGCAAATCCCACCGAACAAAACATGTTTTGATAAATAGCGGCCATATAAAATTTGAGCCAAATCCATCCATTGGTATTTGAGTTATCAAAGATTACTCTCTTTTAAGAAAATTGGCAACCATTTTGAAATTCAGCTGCCATTTTGAAAATTCTCCCTCGAACAGAGCTACTGTGTCCTTAGGCATTATCATATAAAATTTACAACAAATCTGTTTGCTGGTATAAGAGTTATCAAAAGTTTATGTTTTTTTTACGAAAAATTGCTGTCATTTTTAAATAAAGCAGCCATCTTGAAAATTCTTTGTCGACCATAGCAACTCTGTCCCTAGGCATCATCATATAAAATTTGAACCAAATCCGTTCACTGGTATATGAGTTATCAAAGATTACGTTTTTTACAAAAAATTGGCAGCCATCTTGAAATTCAGCCGCCATCTTGAAAATTATTTCTTGAACAGAGCAACTCTGTCCCTAGGCATAATCATATAAAATTTCAACCAAATCTGTTCACTGGTATTTGAGTTATCAAAGATTAAGTTTTTTACGAAAAATTGCCGCCATTTTGAAATTAAGTGGCCATCTTGAAAAATTTTTGTCAAACATAGCTACTGTGCCCCTAAGCACCATCATATAAAATTTGAACCAAATCCGTTCACTGGTATTTGAGTTATCAAAAATTACATATTTTTACGAAAAATTGCTGCCATTTTGAAATTAAGCAGATATCTTGAAAATCTCTTTTTGTGCGAAACTCCTTTGTCCCTAGGCATCAGCATATAAAATTTGAACCAAATCCGTCAACTTGTATGTGAGTTATCAACGATTACATTTTTTACGAAAAATGGCGGCCATTTTGAATTGAGTGGCCATATTGAAAATTCCTTCTCGAGCAGAGGTCCTACACTCATAAGGCATAAGCCCATAAAATTTGAACCAAATCCGTCAACCGGTATTGGAGTTATCGCCCGGACATACAGACAAACGAACGGATGGATGGACAGACGACTTCTCTATATCCCCCTCGAACTTCGTTCGGTGGGATAATCATAAACATTTGCTATTGTCCGGGTTGCATTTTGAACTAACAACTATTATGATGTGTTTACGTCAGTGTTTACAAGAAATATTTATTCAACAGCAACTAATAAGTAAACTAATAAATTCTGATCTAATGAGGATAGGAATTTTAATCGTTTATAATTCATTTAAGGTAATCATTAGATCATTGTAAAGAAGGTTTAAAAACTAAATCCAGCCAAAAAAAAACGAAAAAATCAGCAACACAGGTCAGGAAAACACTTCTGGTCAAAAAGAGGAGGGAAAGTAGACCCCATTTTAGTGATTTCCAGTGGTCTTTCCTCGGAATTGGGGCTCACGATGTTAAGAGATTACAATACCATTAGGTCAGTACCAATTTTGTCGTAAAACCTGTCGAAAAGACAATATCTAGACAACTGAAATTGAAGGAGTATTAGTAATTCTAATATGGCGTTTTTCTAAGATTCGTGAGAGGTAACTTTGATTAGTTCTAGCGCAAAATCCCCACATAGAATTCCTGCATACAAGTGCTAGATTAGATTAAATACTTGAAGAAAAAATAATAAAAGGCGTTCCATTAATCGATTTAGACTTTCCAAGAATGCAAGTTCGGTGGTGACTTCATTGGTTCGTAACATTGACAGAAAATTCACAAGATTGAACGGCGTTTTCTCCACATTTTTGGAATGAAATACTTCCCTGGGATTTAATATATCATTAATGTTTACCAAAGTATACATACTATAAAAGAAATATTACTTAGATTGTATAATGTATATATATATATTAAACACTGGGTCTCCTAATTGACCTGGTGTTTCAAATTATGAATTACAATGGACATTATGCTTATTGGCGTGATTCACGTCAATTGACATGCAAAATGGCAATCTCTGTGTTACACGTTAAATGGGGTAATCGTCTCCACTGTAATACAGGTCAAAATGGTGACCCTGCTTACAGTAGGTTTCTGATTGAATCTCATTCTTTTTCAATGTGTGAAAAGAATTTAAGCATCTAACTCAAAGAACTTGTTAACAATTAATATAAAATTAATTGGTTTTATGTGTGTTTAATGGGAGTTAGTCTATTATTAAAAAGGTAACCCTACATTTGTGTTACGATTAGATGTAAACAAACTTTGGTTTAAAGGAAGTAAAATGTAGGTCAATGCACATGTGCAGAAGTTTGTCATGTGTCATTATCCATCAATTTCAATCATTCAAGCTAGAAGGACAGTGTAAAATCTGATTGAATCTTGTAAGTATGTCCGCCAATCCTTCCCCCAAAACCACCCATGAATTATCCCCCAACTAATGTGAGATCACGGCAACTCCACGGAGTAGCAAATCCCAATGAATACTATAACATACATGAATCTGTATTTGTCACAATGTTATATTTACCATCTTCCCTTGAAAAATTAATTGGGAGATATTATAAAATACATACATTAGAGACATTTAGTGACCATTTAAGAGTTTCAAATAATAAAGACAATACATATTTTAGATCTAATAAAGTATCATGTCACCATACTTTGAAGAAATCTCTAAATAACAGCGAATTCCTGCTATGCAGCCATTTTTTGAGGCACAAATCAGAAAAACAATACCATAATTGTTATCTACCTCATATTTCCTTAAATTTGTGTATAATATGGTCATACTTTGAAGAGATCAGAAAATTATTGCAAAATCCCATAAAACGTGGCCATTTTGAATTTTACGAGGCCCAAATCAGAAAAATGATACTATAGCCTATTTGCATTCTACTCTAAATTACTTTTCATTTGAGTGTAACAAAGCTATACTTTATAGACGAAGGGCTTCACTATATCCCTACCAAACTTCCTTCGTTGGGGTTATTAAGTATGTAACAGAAATGACTAATCCCTAAAAGAACATAGAGACCGAAAATACATGAAGTGATTTAATGCGTTTTGTATGTAAGAATGACTCAGATGCGAGTAGGTAGTTACCAGTTTCACCACCAGGTGGCTCGTTCGGGTCAGATAGCATGGCGGGTATAGGAGAAAGTTCGCTTTAACTTAATATTCATCTGTTTTAGCGGTTCAATTTTCATATCACCATATCTAATAGTTATGCAAATTAAAATATGTTCGGTTAAAGAAAATGTTATATGTCCAATAAAAGAAAAGATATTTAACTTTTTGTGATTTTATAACAGGGGCTCTATGGGGAATCTCCCCGAACTAGAAATTACATTTTGAAAAAAATTAAATTTTCAAAGTTGATAAACAATATTTCTAGATGTATTTTTACTTGTAGATTTCAAATATGATATCAATTTGACTATGTTCTGAATATTTAATGACGTAAATCAAGATTATATCTACTCGCATCTAGTCTATTGAATTTTGCCTCCTAGCCACTATACTACCTTCATTCAAAGTTTCATTCAAGACACTTGTGTTAAAAATTACATATTCATTCTGAACTTCCTACATTATGTCTTGTACTGTATTAGTATCTCACATTGGCTTTTATTTGATAAATTAAAATCATTGTCATATGGAAGCCAAACACTGTACTAAGTCAGTGGCTGTCTGTCCGTAACTACAAATGTGTCCATCAATTTGATTTGTTTTTGTATAAAATAAAACAAAGATGCTCTACGGTAGACACTGTTTGGCTTCAAAATCTCAGTAACTCTAAATTCTAAATTCCACCAGTTGACTTTCCCCAGATCTGGATTAGCATTTATGTGTCAGTGATCTCCCCATGTCACTTTTACCGGGGGCTCCCCCTACTTGAAACCAAAGGCCCCCCAGTTGGCACCCAGTTGGCATCTGCACTTCAACTTCTGATTTAAAAAATGAGTGAAGTTAGCACCTACACAGAGATATTGTGAGCGTAGCGAGTGCTGATTTTTTCAGACTTGAAATCTTGCACCCAGTTGAAAATTTTTTTTGGGGAGAACACTGTGTGTATACCTCACATTTGATGGCATTGATACATACTCATTGTACCAACCCACGACCAAATCTTACAAATATAAAATTAATCTTTAAGGCCAAATGTACATATCTTCTCAAATGAGGTAGTGTATTTGTGATATATAGAGTTAATTTCATAGTCTAGAAACCAGATAATTTGCAAGTTTGATTTTTCCTTTTCTAAATTGATGAGGCATGCAAAGTATTTGCGTTGACAAGGCCATAAGCGTTAAGCAAATGCTTTTTTGCAAGAAATAAACACAAAGTCATTTTCTCATATGACATCTCAAATAGTAATGCAGATAAACAGTTCAATTTTTCCATGTCAATTTACTGTGCATTTACCATCTGTTGATCATTGAATTCATGAGATGTATATATAAGCAAAACACATTCATGATCAATTTTAGTGCTGGTGCTGTATTATTACCACCTTGGCGGGCCTGTTCTTTAATGGTATTAGTACTTGTTTAGAAGGCTTATACTTTACTAAACGTCATAATGGCAGGCCAAAATGGAAATTTCAGCCCGGTAGTGTTCCCCGGAAAATGAGATTCATTCATTCAGTCCAAATAATTTTCGTTCAGTAGCAGTCAGTTCTTGCTATTTCAGCCCTGAGCATAAATGGTGATGTTAACACTATTAACCTCATTTCAGCAGGCAACATAGTGAAACATTGGACCTTGAGCCGAATATTTTTTTCAGGACAAATTCAATCCTTAACATTCCTCGATTTCAACCACAAATATATTAGAACCAGAACAATACCTTACCTTAGCATAACTGGAAATTTTTTAAAGAATGGTCTTTGTATTTATTTGAGTTAATTGAGCAACATCATATGTGTGCTAGATTTATGTCAAAAGTTTCTTGTGTGTTAACAGGGAGACTATTTGGATGTGTCACATCTTTCATTTTAAAGTCTACTGTACTTGTATCGGTACTGACTCCTGAATTCTCTCTTATATAACCTGGAACTTGTGGCATATCAGTACTGTTAAAAACATTGCCAATTCCCACGTCTCCAATCTTACTAGTTGATGCCTCAGTATCTCTATGTTCTCTTCCTGTGTCTACTGCTCCTGTAAAGGCCTCGTTCACATGGGCAAGTCGAGGATCCCTCTCTGAGCTGGTGGCATTAGAAGTGAAAAGCATTTCTACATTTTCCTGTTGTAGGCCTAAGAGTTTCAATGCAGCCATTCGAAGCTGTCGATCTTTCTCACAAAATATCATCGGGTTGAATATAGATTTTATCAGCAAGATTTTGAATGTGATATTCGTCAGTAAAATAATGGCATTAGCATCAAGATTTGTACGTGTAAGAACCATCCTCACAAACAGTAATGGAATCCATGATAGTATGAACAGTCCAAGGATTATTACAACAGTTTTTAGAATCTTGAAGCTACGTTTATACGCTACAGCTTTGGCATGGTCAACAGCTTGAATCTGAGCCAAAATCTGAGTTTGCTTCTTTTTGGCAATCCAGAATATCTTACCATACAGGATCGCGGTTAGGGCCAGTGAACCATAAATCAAAGGATTCAGGATTGCGGAGTTATGGATTCTATGAAGTGTATTCAGTACAGAGCATTGATCTTTCACGTCCCATCTGTTCCAACCAAAGAATGCAGGGATAATGATGGAGATGAGTAGGCCCCATGACATTAGACTCAGTATGATTGTATTTCTCTTACACATCCAACGATCATAACGAAATGGCAACACAATCGCAACAAACCGCTCTATGGCCAATGTTACAAAAAGAAACAAAGCACCACCTGTCGCTAGCAGTGTAAAGAATACTCTCAAAAAGCAGATGTATTTTTTATCAACTGTTCCTAGCACAATATCTCTTGCTATGTCATATTCATAATTCATCAATTCCCGGATAGGTAGTCCAAAGAGAGCTTGAAGAAGGTCAGCTATTGCTATGTTCAGAACTATGATATTTGGAGGGGTCTGCAAGTGCTTATTTTTAAACACTACCGTAATCAGTAAGCCATTTGTAAGTATCAAGAAAACGAAGATGATGCCAGAGACACACATCAGTCCGATATAAAAACTACTTGCATTTGCTTCAATTTGCCAGTTATACATTTTGCTAATGTTATGTTCAAGTGTTGTAGTCTCATCCATTTTATTTTTTCTTACTGCTTCTAATTCCTAACAGACTGTCTCATTTATCTTTGTAACTTAATAATTATCTTATAGTTACTTTTATTATTTTTTATATTCTATTTTCCTATAACTATAATGTTTTTTATTTTATTAATTTTTTCACTTTGTTATAGTCTCATCAATTTTATTTTTCTAATGATTCTTAATCCTCACAAACAATCTCAGATTTCACTGCAAAAATATTTGTCTTCGTAACTTAATTATTTTACAGTTACTTTATTATTATCTCTATATATTATTTCCCTACATACTGTCTTTTCATTTCATCATTTCTTTTCATTTAGTTCATTTATTTCATGACTTCTTGAAGAAATCTATATGTCTTTTGTGTAACTCTATTCGTCTAATCTAATATTGTTGTGCATCATTACCAGATGAGTATGTAGACATTGATATACAATAAGTATATAAGTCGAGTGTCTTTATATTGCAACATATTTACTACTTCTATTATAAGAGGTCTTCTCATTTCTCTCACTCATAATTGGACTGTATATTGTGGGGTGCGGTACAACACGTAGATGATGTAATATGACTGGCTAGAGGATGGCTTATGAAAACAACAGTGGTCACTTCATGCATGAAATTGATTTTCATTAATTTTTGATTTGACATTGGTTTTTCACTTTATATTTTCAGAAAAATGGAATGGAAGATGTGGTATCGATATGGAGAACTTTTTGAACACACGATTCTCTTCAACCAGTCATGAAAAAAATCTTAAAATTTAACACATCATCAATTTAATGGTCATCTTTTGAATGGTAACAATATAATTTGAAATATATATATATACTTTCATCTATATTGTGTTAGAAAACACATCAAACACTTCTTTTGTTCTTGGTATCATATTTCCAGAGTAAAATGAAACATCTTTCCGAACCTCATTGGAACAAAACGACATAAACCCAACATGTTTAGGTCTCTCAATATTTTAATTGTACAAAGGAAATTTTGGTTGGTTTTAAAAAAGTATCTTGTTAATGAAATAAAAGGTTTATCTTCATTTCTATCTAATTTGGGGGGATTTTGTTTTAATTTTTTGAATGCTTTTTTAAAATCAACCAAAAATTCCTTTGTATAACTATATAATATTGAGAGGTCTAAAAACATGTTGTATATGCTATTTTGTTTCAACAAGGTTCGGAAAGACATTTTATTTCATTCTCAAGAATTGGTAGAAAGGAGCAAAAACAATTGCACTTAAAAAATTTTTTTTAACAAAAACAGTTATTCAAAATATTTCTAACTAGAAAATGGCAACTCCACGGAGTAGCAACTCCCAACAAACACTATTAAATCATCAATCTGTACAGATCAGAAAACAATTTCGAAATCCCGAATTAGGTGGCCATTTTGATTTTTTGAGGCCCAAATCAGAAAAACGCTACTATATTTGCAATCTACTCTAAATTGTCTTTCATTTGAGTATAATAAAGCTATACTTCAAAAACATCTCAAAATTAACTCAAATTCCTGTTTTCCTCGATACCCCATTTACGGCCCCTGGGGGTCAGGGTGAAAAACCCGGAATATATGTGAAATGGATAGATGTTGTTAATATGCTACCAAAATTTCAAATAATAATATTCATTATTTTGGTTTAAAATGAAAAACATAAGATCTTTGCGAAAAATTCCCGCCATTTATAAACTGGCGGCCATCTTGAAAATTTTTTTTTGTAACTGTTCACTTATATACATCTTTCCACCAAATATGAAGAAAATCTGTTGACTAGTATTGGAGTTATCTTCCGGACAGACGGACGGACGGAGGGCTAGGCTTCACTATATCCCTACAGAACTTCGTTCATTGGGATAAATAGCGCCAAAGATGTTCATCTGTTAGTTCTAATTAATAATAATTTATGGTTCCTCTAAATAAGTTATTCAGGTTAGTTAGAGGAACCATAATTATTATTTCTAAATAATTTTCTCATTAAATTGTTGTCAATCAGTCAACATTACATAAAATAGCGTGTTTTTTTACAGAATGTTTTCAATGATTGGTTTAAGACAAAAACATTGTTGATTTCAGTTCTCCATATCGATACCAATCCTTTTGTTTTCTAGCTCTAAAAATTAAATCAATTGAAGAAAAAATTATTGAAACACAAATTCATTTGAGACAGAGGCATTCTGTTTTCATCATATTGGTGTTTTCTGTTTTCATCATATTGCTGTTTTGTAGTTACATTTTTTTAATAACAAATCATAGCAAAAATGCTAATTTCTAATACATTGACTGAAGACTTTAGTTATGAACCCAGGTGTGATGAAAAAGCACTTAATAAAGCTAATTTCAGACTATAAGTATAAATTCAGTTGTTCACACTGTAAGCATTTAAGTTGGAATCATGTAACCTATAGATCTTGATGCAACAACACCATGTTGTTGCATCAAGATGGCCAGCCTTCAAGTGATAGATTTTCTCAAGATAATTTTTTTCCTAATTTAAACCCATTTCTAGGACAAGTTTCACGATAATCATACACCTGCAGTTAGCGCACGATCTATATTTTAAAATACTGTCATTGATATACATGTAGCATCATCCAGAAGCGATAAATTCACGGTTTTAGTTCCTCACTATTGATGCAACAACACCACTATGTTTATTATCAATGATGCAACAACGCCAAAGTCTTTATCAAACTTAAAAGGATATAAAAGCCAAATGATATACATAGTAATAGTATTTATTATTTGTTCGGAGGATGTCCTACATCTTGTTACTACTTTGAACTAGACAACTTAAACGTAAAAAGGCTCGTCGCCAAATTTGTTAGAATCCCAATGGTCCGAGCCCTATTTGTCAGGAATGCGTGGAATAACATCACGGTGTTGTTGCATCACGATACCCCCCAGTGATTTTGGATTGTTTCCCAATTAAATGTCTGGACGTTATCTATTTTCTTGGAAGTGTCGAGGCAGACACAACATTTCAATGAATTAATCTGCTTCGAAGCTCTCACTACTGGTTTTCAAACGCCATTAATATTTTAATAGCAGGGGTCTGAAAATCACAGATTTCGGTTTCGAAGACCATCTTCCTAGTGTTCTCCCCAGGAGAGAAAAATTCTAATTTTCACAATTCAGACCAAAATTTGTCAAAATATGCCAATTTTTCATTATTTTTCTCATTTTCAAGTGGGTGCAAATGGATTTTCAGGTGGGTGCATGCCTGTTTATTAGATCTCAAGTGGGTGCTACGCCAACGTGCTTTAATGCTGGGAAGATCACTGCCTCCATATAACAGGATGGTTCATTGAATTTCTATTTTATAAAGAGTAATAGACACTGGCATGTAGCGGCCCTGATATCGATAAATTCTACACGCAATATAACCCGATTTTAGATGCTTGGTTAAAACTTTACACGAAAAAGCCTCGATATCCGGGCATTTACTCTTACACTGAACTGAAAATAGCATCGTCTAAACGTGTATGTCTTGGCTTCCGGGTAAGTTTATCAACATTTATACTCAATTGAAAGAGCAGTCGTGCTTATATCGTGTACCAGTTTGATTGTTTTATATGTGTGTGTATTTATAATATGATAGTCTAGTAATACCGTGTCGTTAGAACAAGTGCTAGATATCGAACTGATGACCTGAAATTAGATTATTGGACTGATCGCGCATCTGATATTAGATGATTAATTTGCATTGAATCTGATATTAACTTGCAACCCAATACTACAGTAAATACCATGACTTTACATTAGAATGATAACACGGCCTCATATTCTAATTCATTATACGTCCATTGCAGGCCAAAAATGTTTCAATGGGGATATTGTAATGCACACGAGAATACATTCGATTCGTATATATTGACACCCCAGTTGTCCGAAACCCAGTTGTCCGAAACCCAATTCCCCGAAACCCAGTTGTCCGAAACCCATTACTCCGAAAAATAAAGTCATAATTTACCAGAGAAAGGGGGGGGGCGTAGCTTACTAAAGCTTACGTCAGTTTCATGCCATGTATTTGGCCAAATTAATGGCATGGACGCATTCTGATATTCATAGATCTCTCTCTCTCACTTTGAATTGCATCCATTGTATGGCGTTACCAGAATGGCAGGAACGGGAGATTTATTTTACATTGTGATTCTAAAAAAGGTTATTAAAACACAATATATATTACGGAACAGTTTATCTTATCTTCTTCAATCTCTTTTATATAGGCAAAATAAAATGAAACATTTTGAAACAGATAAAATAAGGTATCGCATAGAACTTTAAGAATAAAACAGTATACAAATTACGTTGTCAAAATATTTCGTCGCATTTAATTTCTTAGTCTCAGTCTCTTATCAAATCGTAAAAGAATAAAACATTCTAAACTTAATCACTTGGGATTTATGTTTCGGCATTCGTTTCAGGCATTTGTTTTTTATGTTCTTCTCCTGAAA